CAGTGAATTACTGGTGCCAGAGAGACTCCAGAACCACAACAAAGCCGCAAGATTCCTTTCTCCTCACCACATCAACACTTTTATATCAGGACCAGAGCAGATGTTAGGAAGTCCCAATTACCTAATCTTAGGACAATCTTCTTCCTTCCATTAGAAAGGGGGAAAAATGGGGAACTGCCTGGTAGTCCAGCGGTTAGGCGGTTTCACAGCAGGGCTGGAGTTTAATCCCTGGTCGGGGAACTAATCTCCTGCAAGTAGCATGATGTGGCAAAAAAAAAAAAGGCTGGGGCAGGGGTGGGGATGGNTTTTGTTTCCTCAATGGTTATTTCAAAACCTTGATTCCACCCTTTTTGGAGGAATTTTCCCAGACTAAAGACTCCTGACCGGTAGTAAAAACCCTGAATGCCCACTTCATTTTACTCAATACATCAGACCCTGAAAATTGGAAGCAATAATAGGGAGAAAAATTAATAAAGCAATGTAAACTAAGGTGCTGCTTCATGCAGAAACTGACTTCTCTATGCACCTCCCTGTTAGATCTAATAGATTCCACAGCATTTTATTTCAGTCATAAGACTCACTAATTTTTCCACAAATTCTTTTTTTTTTAATTTACTTTTAACTGGAGAATAATTACTCTATTAGTACAATATTGGGATGGTATCTGCCATACATTAACATGAGTCAGTCATAGGCTTACATACGCGCCTCCAGTTGTCTCCTAAAATGCCCACCCTCTTCCCTCCCCGTCGCCCGCTCCAAGTCATCACATAGCACCAGCTTTCAGTTCCCTGGATCACACAGCAAATTCCCAGCTACTAGCCACTTCACGTACGGTAATGTCTGTTGCAGGACTACTCTCTCAAGTCATCCCACCCTTTCCCTCCCCTACCGTGACCATCAATCTATTCTTTCACAAATCCTTTTAGTAGATGTCTCACAACATGATCCTTATTGGGCTTAAGAAAGAAGGTGATTACGACCTTTTAAGAACCTGTCACCACACTGTCATCCCATGTCACAAAGGCAGTGAGACTGATCTTCTCCCCTCAGGGGATTACCTGCCACATGCACACGGCTAACAAGGGGGAGCTTTTCAGGTGCTTGCTAATACCCTCATTCTTTGAGACTCCCATTGGCCCTAAGTCTCTTCAGGTGTTTGAGTGGTAGGTATAAAAACCAATGAATTTGTGCCCCCAAAAGAAAAAAAGAAAAAAGTGAATTTCTTTCTATTCCTTAGATGGTTACTGACCTAATGCTTCAGCCTTACCTGGTGCTTCAGTTTGCCCTGGTCTTGACCCACAGGCAGATCTCAGCGTAAGGCACGCTGGAGGAACTGGAGGAAGCTGGTCAGAGCTGGACGTGACTAGCTTGACAGGAGGAGGGATGTGTTTGGAAGACTCAAGGTCCCCCTCGGCACCCCAGGCCTCATTTCTGGCACATGGGTGGGAAACTTAGCCTGACTCTTGAGTACAGAGCAAGCCCACGCGCTCAGTCACTCTGTCATGTCAGACTCTTTGTGACCCCATGGACTGCGGCCCATCAAGCTCCTCTGTCTATGGGATTCTCCAGGCAAAAATACTGAAGCAGGTTGCCATTGCCTACTGCAGTGGATCTTCTTGACCCAGGGATCAAACCCAAGTCTCCTGTGTCGGCAGGTGGAGTCTTAAAGATAAATAAGACATTTATCTTTACCACTGAGACACCTGGGAAGCCCAAAGCAAGCCCATAACCAACACTAAATTCAACCAAACCTGTGGACTGTTTTCCCAGAGTCAATCAATTAATTAGGTATGACCTTCAAACTAAGAGATTTAAAGCGCTCTTTAAACACTTGTGTGTGTGTGTCTATGTGTCTGAGAATTCTACCCTCTTTTTCATCTCCCATCCCCACTCAGCAAGAACTTTTTTTTAGTACCAAATTAAGAGAGAGTGTTATGAGGCACAGAAGATGAAACAGACACAGATTTTGCCCTCAAGGAAACCTCACTTCTGTAGGGGAGAGACTTATTTCTGGCTGCACCTTGCTGCTTGTGGGATCTCAGTACCCCAACCAGGGATTCAACCCGCACCCTGTGCATTGGAAGTGAGGAGTCTTAACCACTGGACTGCCAGGGAAGTCCTTGGAAATAAGACATTTATATAGATATATATTTGTTGAATGAATAAAAGAATAGCTGCATGAGATAAATAGTGACACTTTCCAAAAAAGAGTTATAAATAAACTCTTGTGGCAACGAGGCAGGAAAAATCTCCCTCTGGATGGCTTAAAGGGGTTGTGAGAGAGGAAAGCACTGATACCAAACCCAGCAAGAGGCCACTACAGACCTTGGGTATCCACCAGTGCAGGAAAAAGGAAGTAGAATACTGATTAACATGAATAGTTTGGAAGCCAGTTTCTGCTAAAATGAGGTTGAGTGTGGGCCTGGAGACAATGGGAAAGAGAAGGTTGGAATTAAAAGTTTACAAAAGTTCTCTGAGGCTTTTATTGCTTTCCTCACCCCTCCTTATTTCAAATAATTGAGAGCCTGAAGACGTATTAACATTTTTTTTAAAAAAGCAACTCACTCCACCTACAGAAAAGGAATGGGATGCTGGGTCACAAGCCAGTGTCTGTGATCCCCTTCAGCTATCAGCTTAGACAATTTCTCTCCTGAGGAATTCCAAGGTTTGTAGAAGTTTCAGCTTATTACCAATGTCAAGAATTTAGCAAGTGGTGCTATGTCTGATACTGAGCGGGACCCTGTGGGGCTCCTGGGCAAAAGGCTTTTCTGTTCCCCCATTTCTTTGATTCCAGGCAACAACTTCATTCAGCCTCCATGACCTCCCCTGAGTTCCAAGGGGCAGATTCAAGCAGTTGTTAATTAGGGAAGGGAGGGGATACAAGACCAGGGAGAAACAGTCCAGAGCAGCCTTGGGGCAAAGTCCTATTTTCCCATCAACAGATACAGGTGACAGACAATATCTTTGAGCCATTCTGCAGAGACTGAACACCCCTCCAGGTGGGAGAAGTTAGCGATTAATGACAGTATGCTGCCCACAAGCATGGAGACCCCAGACCAGTTGGACCTGAAGGTTGACCACGTGGACTCCTATTTATCTCACCACCAACCCACCAGAAGAATGTCCATGAGTTGGTCACGCCCTCTTTGAACAATTACTATAAAACTTGTCACTGTCTTCCCCAAGCCGGGACACTTGGTTTTGAGGGCATTAGCCCGCTGTGTTCCCCTCTGCCTGGCAAAGCAATAAAGCTACTCTTTTCTAGCTCACCCAAAACTCTGTCTCCGAGATTTGATTCAGCACTGGGATACAGAGAAGCTGAGCTTTCAGCATCTTGTCCCAGAGAATTCTATAATCTGCTTTAGCTAAATCCATTTCTGGGGTCTTCCCTGGAAGTCCAGCGGTTAGGGCTCTGTGCTTCCACTCAGGGGGGCATGGGTTGGATCCCTGTTCAGGGAACTAAGATCCTACATGCAGCCAAAAAAAATCCATTTCTGTATTACTCAGTCAAGTGGCATGAAAAGAGCCGGTTCTTCCATGCCTCTGAATTCTTCTAATTGCTGGAGATATTCACCCAGCCACTCCTCATTTCTGAAGATGACATGGCTTAAAAGTCACTACTCGCAAGCTGGACCTGTGTAACCCATCTCTTTTGGAAGAGAAGAGTCCTAGCTATTCCCACGTATCTCAGGAAGGTGAAGAACTTCTGCCTCATGGTGTTCTCATACAGGAGGTGAAAGCAAAGTTAAAGAATCGTGCTGTGAAAAATATTTTAACTAGAGGGAGAACATAGGAAACACTATTACAACGTCAGCATTAAGTATCACATGGAATTATCTAGTCACCCCAAAGACAAGCATTTACAACACTGGGTCTGGATCCCCCGCTATGTTCACCGGTCTTACTGCGTGAACCGTGATGATGGGGATGATGGGGCTTTGAAGGCCTCTGCTAAATATTCTCTTGACTAATCTCAGGAGGAGAGAGAATACGCTGAGAAAATGATGAAGGTGAAGAAACAATGAGGTGGCTGAAGCTTCTTTCAGGAAAACAAGAAACTGGACCATGATGTCTGAGAATGGGCTGAATGCAATGCAGTAAGTGTGCATTACACTCGAAAAAGAGCGTCGATCAGTCACTACTGGGATTGCACACACTGGTCCCTGACGAAGAACGATCCCCAATTGTGTAACTCTATGGAGACGCATTACCTGAACAAGCAGGTGAAATCCATCAAAGACCCACCGACTTGTGCATGACGGGGGCCCCTGAATCTGGCACGGCAGAAGGTGTCTTTGACAAGCACACCCTCGGAGGTGATGCGGGCAGAGCTGAGTCTCAGGCCATAGCCATGGTGGGGGCGAGGTAACCAAGCGGGACCCTATGGGATCTTCCCGGGACAGACCCCTCCCCCATAGCCTCTGCTGTAGCTCCTCTCTGAAGCACCTAGGTAACAGTATCTGATGCACATTTCCCAGGTTGACTTACAGATGCTAAATCCTTCACCGAATGGAAGAAATTGACCACTGATGACCATGAGTGCGTAGCCCCCAGACTCACTGGCGCCTCTGGGTTGGTAAAGCGAACCCCTGTTACGCCGCCCGTTACCTCACTATCACAGAATTGTACACACGCTCATTACATATCCTGGGATGCCCTGCCCTTACCTTGTCTTTAAAAACACTTTCCTGAAACCCGTACAGGAGTGTAACAGGCAGCAGTAGGTGCCCTGGACTCCTTGCATGGTGCCCCGCACCAAACACTTTCCTCACCACCACCTGGGGGCAGCAGATTGGCTTTACTCCATACAGGCCACTCGAGTTCTGTAACAGGGGGTGAATTCCCTGGTCCCCAAAGCAGTACATGCATGTGGGGCTTACCCTGACCTTTCCTAAAAGTTGTACTAAAATACTGAAATTCTCTCATTCATATCATTCTTCCAAATAATTCGGTACCCACCTCCTACCCCCCAAACAAAACAAAACCGTGAGTGCTACCTGCCATCAAAGAAGAAGAACTTGCCCCGTCCATTCTTTTCTCCGTGAATGAAGTTGCCCTCGAATCTGTCCGTGGAGGAGTAGGTGACTGTGCAGAAGCCGTGCGGTAATCCATCGTCGTCCAGGTGCCCTGGGGAAAGGCAAACACAGGGCAAACCTTAGCTTCCACGCTCCCCCACCATCAGGTGTGTGCTCAGATGCTGCCAGCAGGTGCCCTGAGCAGACTGGGGGTCCCTTCCTTGCTCAGGGAAGGGCGAATGCCAAGCTTTCTCTGCCTGCATCAGCACCATCAATTCTACTTAGATACTCTTTCAAAAGGGTGGGTCCACGATAGACCACCTTAGACACATGTAAGAATAGGAACCCAACCCACGCTCATATTTTACGAGGGACTGAAACTTATTCTCGATAGTAACATCTGCAGTGTGAGTTTCGGTTGACTCAGTACTTCTCCACACGCTACTCCTCAGGTTTGGAATGAGTGTCCCTGAACGGTCATGCTTAACCGAAACGTGGTGGAGATGGCACACCGTCTTGGCAATATGTGGCGTGGTTCTAGAACGAAGCACAGTACAATTTTATACATCATTACATGGTCTGATGTGGAGCTCTGCTGGCCAGGCACCCTCTGAAACCCCCCCTCCTCTCTGTTACCTTCTGACAAGAGCTCGACCCACCTCTCCACAACTGCCCTAACGTCTGCACCTCATCATATAAACACACAAACTCAGAGTTCTTCTAAGCTTGAGCTTAAGCTTAACATCGAACTCATTGCTTTACTTTATAAAAATCTTTCTGCTTTCAATGTTCAGTAATAACCTTGTCATATACCTTCTGCCCACTGGGTTCAGAGGGTTTGTGCTTTAAATGTAGCCAGAAGTATCCACATGACCATTTAAGGAGTGATTTTTGAACATCAGTAGCCATGATTACACTGTGATCTTTAAATTGCTGGTTCTTCTTGCATCACCAATTGGTATATTCTAATATTTATGTTTCCAGTCAACATTTAGGTTTCTTATTATTATCCACATATCTCACAACACCCAGGAGTCATCTCCTTGGTGTCTCCCCAGTCATGTTGCTGAGCTAACTTTGCAGACGTGGGTTGAAAATGAAGCAGCAGTTAATCTACTGACTTTTTCCTGGGTTAATGACCTGAGTCATGGATGAAAAGGTATAAAAGCATTAAATACTATGCAATGCAGGGACATTAAACACTTAAATATGGCTTCCAGATGGCTCACAGACATTGAAAAAAAAAACAAAAACACAGACCATAACACCACAATGAATGCTTTACTCTCCTAAAATAATTTCTTCTAAAGTGATAAAAGAGTATCATCCCTTAGAAGGGATAGTAGGCAAGCACTCTTATGAAGAACAAAACACCTGTTTATTTGTATTATTGATTATATAAACATAAAATACAAATGAACAAAGACTGTTTTATTGCTATATCTCATTCTGCATAGAATGAATTACCTAAAATATATCACAAGAAAACATGGCTACTTAAACAAATTACAATCAATAGGATCATTTTCTCTTAACACAATTTTTTTTTACCAAGGGCCAGGAAATTAATGGTTAGGAGGGAACTAGGACACATTTGCTTCCTTGCTCAAAAACCAAAAACTGTGTGTGACATGATTCAATGACACTTGAATCATATGAAATAATTTGGACAATTATTTTCTAAATATCTACTGATGACATTTTTCTCACTGAAATAAATTAAATCTTTTTCTTTTTTCATTAAAAAAACACACTCAGTGTATAGTTAAAAGCTTTTTTTTATGAAATGTTGCTCAGATCAAATTAAATTTAGTTGTTAGCATTCCTACAAATGTAGCATCCCACTTTTGATTTAGGTATAACTACCAGAATAACCATTTTAGCCTTATATTGAAGTACCTACTAATCTGTTCAAAATGCTTTCTCCATAGAAAACAGTTCACATATTTCAGACTTTATAAAACTAATGTTTGATGAAATTAGTGATTCTACCTTGCTTTTTAATTTTTAAAATATATTTAAAAAATGTATCTGGCCATGCCGGGTCTTAGTTGTAGCATGTGGGATCCATTAATAGTTCCCTGACCAAGGATCAAACCTGGGCCCCCTGTATTGGGAGCACAGAGTCACTGGACCATTGGGGAAGTCCCTATTCTACTTTCAATCAAGAGAAATATTATGGTAAATATGAACACTAAGGGAAAAAAAAAACCCAATGTAAATTCATTTCCACCTTTCCTCAGTTGCAGTGGTCCTGTCCTATTTCTGAGCAAAACATTGCAGGTGCACCCTCAGCAGCGGCATTTAGATTCTAGAGAAAAATGGAAGCATCACAGAACACAATAAAAACACTTGTGGGACAGTACTGAACCCTACTGAGATGAAAGTGGTAGCATCAACCCACTCCATGAAGGATGCCTGCCTCTTTACAGGCCAGTGAAGAGAAGTCCCATCACCTTCTCAGTCTCCAGGGAGAAAGGAACAGAAGAGCTGCTGAATCATGGCCGTTTGGTGACACCATGTGTTTAGGAAGAAGGCTGGGATGGGTGACACTTCACTGCCTTTCCAAAGGTGTTCAGTTGGTGTGCTGTGAGACATTTCTGAAATCGCCTTCTATCAGATCACAGCAGGGTCCTCTGATTGGCTTGTCTGTTCTCTTCTCATCCTTCCAAAAGCAGGAGGATGTGATCAATGACCGGATGTGATCAATGACCAGGATCAATGAAAAAGGAGCTAAAAGTTACTAAGGCTTATGATCATTCAAGACTCCCATCCTGAATATTTAATAGCCTGGGGTGGTGTTTCTGGTAGCAGAAGTTTATGTTTAAAACAACACCCACAACCAAAACAATAACAACTAAGAGACTCCAAGAAAAGAAATGTCAGGAAGAGAAGAGACTGGGTTGCTATGACCTCACATCTCCTACCAGCTAGTGGTACAAGAGCTTCTGGTACAACTCTTGTTCCAAAGCCATTTGGACAATAAGATCATGTGATATTTATCTTGCCAGTAAGTCAGTTTGATGGAGAGGGAGACCGAAACACAGAGAAGAAAAAAACACCTGTATATGTTTTCCATCAGGCATCAGGCACTGAGTTATGCAATTTCCTATTATCTAAATTAAACCTCACAGTCATCCCTCAAATTCCAGTCTTATAGAGAAAGTCATCCCTATTGCCCAAGAAGCACATTAACAGCTACCCTGAATGAGCTATGTATGCAGGTCAGGAAGCAACAGTTAGAACTGGACATGGAACAACAGACTGGTTCCAAATAGGAAAAGGAGTACGTCAANTTGGAAGGACTGATGTTGAAGCTGAAACTCCAATACTTTGGCCACCTCATGTGAAGAGTTGACTCACTGGAAAGCACTCTAATGCTGGGAGGGATTGGGGGCAGGAGGAGAAGGGGACGACAGAGGAGATGGCTGGATGGCATCACTGACTCGATGGACATGGGTTTGGGTGGACTCCGGGAGTTGGTGATGGACAGCGAGGCCTGGCGTGCTGCGGTTCATGGGGTCACAAAGAGTTGGACACGACTGAGCGGCTGAACTGAACTGAACTGAATGAGCTAATGGATGCGAAGAACCCTTTCCCCTACTCTTTCAATCCTGGGATAAAAGCAAACTGGCAGGGTATCTTTTCTTTCCTGCCAATGGCAGAAGCGACCTCTAAAGAGAGGGGATCTCAGGTCCCAGGAAGAGAAATGGAAGGGGCCTTCACAGTTAAGATAGCTCTCACAGCACCAGCATATTCTGACGGCAAGTGCCTGTCTCCTCCACGTGTTACCCAACACAAAGAGCAACACTAGTCCTGCCTGCTCGGATGGAGGTCAGTCTGCGCAATGTGCCAAGTCAGCCAACAGCCTTCCAGGCCAGTTCCCACTCAGCAGAGGTTGAGTGCCAGACCCAAACAAGGAAAAGCTGCTCGAATGATGGTCGTGTGTTGGGAGAGCAGCCCTTGTGTATATACCTGTCTGCAGCACGGTTTTCAAATATTGACAGAAGCCAGAGAAAGGGGAAAAAAAGGAACTGTCTCACAAATCTACTTTTTCACTTTGTTCTCAAGATCATTATCTACTGAACAGACAGAAAGTTCAATTTTTTTCCCCTTGGATTCCCTCAGTTTTTTTTTCCTGAATCTGATGAGAGCGAGGGCTGTATTCTGTGCAGTGATGGTTCCTCTCAGCAGAGGAAATTCCCTCTGGATCAGACACTCTGCTGCTTACAGCCTCAGGCTTACTCACAGGAGATCCGAGCGTGTGTGTGTGTGGGGGGGGTTCCTCTCAGAACCAGAGACCCTTACACGCATTGTTGGTTTTGTAGAACAGAATTATTTTTAAAAAGGTAATAATAATTAAAAAAGGCAAACTTATTCCGTTTAGTGCAAGAATGTGCCTTCATGATGAAGCACTTATGCTTGTGGTTAAAAAAACACAATCTGATTTTTGAAAGTCATCCTTTGCAAGAGCTCCGTTATTAGTTGCGAGGGTCATAGTTTTAATGTGAGGCCCACATACAAAGGGTGTTACTGGAACAGCTCGCCTGTATTTTTCCTAAGTCCAGAGCATCAGTAGTCTTATTACAGACAGGTAGGATAAGTGATTAGGAGGACAGTTAAAAATACTCTTAATACTTGAGAGAGAGTAGCATGGAAGCATGCGGCTTCCCATGGTGGCTCAGACGGTACAGAATCCACCAGCAATGTGGAAGACTTGGGTTCAATCCCTGGATCGGGAAGATCCCCTGAAAGAGGGCATGGCAACTCAGGGCAGTATTCTTGCCTGGAGAATTCCATGGACAGAGGAGCCTGGCAGGCTACAAGTCCATGAGGTCAAAATCAATCAGACAGGACTGAGTGACTAAGCGCACACACACAGCGTGGAAGCATATACATGTACACATGTAAGACAGAGCAAATGGAAATTCCTTGTATGACTCGGGGAACTCAAGCCTGGGCTGACATGACCTAGAGCGGTGAGAAAGGGTGGGGGGTGGGAAGGAGGTTTTAAGGGGGGGGTATATGTACACCTGTGGCTAATTCACTTTGATGTATGGCAGAAACCAAACCAATATTGTAAGGCAATCATCAATCAATTAAAAATAAATAAATATCTTAAGGGAAAAAAAAATCCTCTTACAATCTGAGGGGACTGGGGCAGTGAAACATGGAGATTCTTGTTTTCATTCTGGCTTCTTCGTTCTAGCGATGCTGCCCTTTCCCCTTTTCTTCTTCCTCCCTGTCGCCTTTATGTATCCAGGCCTGTCTGATTTTTCCTGCCCTCATAACTGCTACTTCAAAAAGCCTTCTAGATGACGGCTTCCCTTGCTCCCCACCGCCTGTTCATCCTCCCAGAACAGAGCCCCCAACCTTCCGTTCTGAGCTCTACAGAGCCTCTAGGACATGGTTCAAGGTCTGGGCCTGGGACAAGACTCCCTTCCCTGTATCACCCTCCACTTTTCTCCTCCTCGACCCTCTGTTATAGTAAAAGCCAGAGGTTCGTCTCTGAATGCGCCTGAAATAATTCCACTCTCCCCCTCTCCTTTTTTTTTCCTTTTTTTTTATGTTTTGGTGCACCTGGGTTAATATTTGATTAGCTGAAATTTCTTGATGATGCTAGTGAATCATACATGAGAGTGTCCCCTTCTTTGCAGGATGATATTAGTCTTATTGAATTTTGCCAACCTAATTAGAGAAAACCTTTATCTCAGCATTTGCATTTGTATTTATTTAGTGAAGTTGTTTCTTTTCGAATGCTTGTTGGCCATTTGTTTTCTTTTTTTCCTGTGAATTGTTGCTTCATTCCACACCTCTCTTTACTTGCAAAGTGCCTCTCTCAACTGGACTCAATTTCATGCCAACTCTTCGGGGAATTCCTTGCCCAACTACTTCCACAAGCTGTATGCAATTTTCATTTCCTCTCAACCACCATCACTCATCTGATTAGATATGATATATTTATTTCAAATTATATTAGGGACCACCTTGTATTCATCTTTGTGTCTACTGGTAGGCAAAGAAATAGATGTAATAAAAAATTCTATTCCCAAAGCTAAACATCACCCTTTGCTGCACCAATGAGTCTCAAAGAAAAAAAGCCTCAGCAAGCGGACTTCCTTAGATGTCCAGTGGTTGAGACTCTGCGCTTCCAATGCCAAGGGCATGGGTTTGATCCCTTGTAGGAACTAAGATCCCGCATGCTGTGCAGTGCAGCCAAGAAAACCTTTAAAATAATAATAATATAAAAGAATAAAAACCACAGTGGGAGCTCAGGCAATGTTTGCAGGCCCGCTGAGGCCCAGGGCTGCCTTCCCAAGGAAGCACAGCCAACATCATAAACAGAAACTCCCTCTCCTCCACCCACCTGCCCTCAGGGATTCCTCTGCCAGGGCTTAGAACTCCAATCAAGCTACAGTTCCACCCTAACAGAGAGGTAACCAAAAGATCTGAACTTAAGTCCTGAAGAGACCAGTTTCTTCCCCAGAGTAAATTTCTAAGGAGGAAGAAAAAGGATGTCTGTAGCAGAGGCTATCAGAAATATATTTTTTTCTGAAAGTCACCGAACTTTTTCAGAACCAGCCTCTAAAGAGTGACACTGATAACTGTTGCTTTCAAACTCAGCTACCAACTGTTTCCTACATGTGACTGGCTCATTAAGAAATAAAAAATAAGGGTGTACGGAGACTATCTGGAGAAGCGAATGGCAATCCATTCCAGTATTCTTGCCTGGAGAATTCCATGGACAGAGGAGCCTGGCAGGCTACAGTCTGTGGGGTTGCCAAGAGTCAGACATGACTGAGCAATTAACACACACACACACACACACACACACATACACACAGGGAGACAACTAGTATGGTGGAGCAGGGTTCTGGGGTCCAAGCCTGTCCCCTGCATCGCTGAGGGTCCTTGGATCAGTTCTTAACTTCTCTAAGCCTCAGTTTCCTCCTCTAGAAAATTAGGATAATATGAGTATCGACATCATGAGATTGAATGGATAATGTGTGTGTGAAACACTTAGCACAGAGCCCGCACATAGTAAGAACTAAATAATTACAGCAATAATGATAGCTAAGACAATGAAACTCAGAGAGCACAGGCTCTGCATAGGGACAGAGGTAGGTTAGCTGGTATTTCAACAGCAAGATACTCAGACTAGCCTTTTACCAGTCCCCCAAGCATGTGTTAGATGTTGACACTCTTACAGACAGCACTTTAAAAGGCCAAGAATGGCTGGGAAAAAGCCTGCTTTTACACATGCATGCTCTAGACACTGTGAGTCTGAGCTGTGTGTGCCTCTAAGGACTTGAAGACTCTGTGTTACTTTGTTTACTGTTGGTATGACTGAGTAACCATGTGACCAGGATTGCTCCAGACATTCAAGGTTTAAGCCAGTTGTGCCAGCATAAGTATTAAATAGTGACCCTTCTCAAGTATATTCTGACTTTGGACAATAATGTATATGAACATACCCTCACCCTCTATATCACAGAAACTTCCTTGCTTATACAAAGAAGTTTCTCTGCTTCCACCCATTGAACAATCCCAAATGCATGGATGTATTTCTAAAGCTGCTTGTTTACATTCTGCAAGCAGCCTGGGACTGTGGACAACTGGGCCTTAGGTTTCCAAACAGCTTCAAAGGGTAAGGTGGTTTAACCTTGGGAGCACTGCCTGTGATCAAGGGTTTGCATTATGTTTACAAGTCAAAGTAAACTTTGAAGAAGGAGACCAAGTCCTAACAATTTGAGAGTAGCCTTTTTCAATTATCTTTCATAACATGAAGACACACCTAGTCAATAATTTAAATTTAAATAAGACTACCAATCAACGTCTTTGGGCCCCAGGAAGTCCCAGCATTGGCTTTATTCATTACAGAGAAATAGTTCAGGGCATTGTGAATTGAAAGCAAAACCAACACTCCTTGAAGCTCCATAGAGAAATAAGAAGTTTCAACAGTTACATGAAGACAGCTTTTAGAGAATTCAAAAATATTATTCAACTTAATCTCTCCCTAAGACCTTGGGAGCACTGCAAACGGAGTCAATTACGTTGATATAAAAATTAATTTTTTTCCTCCCAAAGTAGCAGTAACTGCATTCTCATGCATCTGTAAGCCTTGTCACTTTGTCTTTCTTTACCATTTCTAAGAACTTGTTATACAAATTAGAAAGGAAGCAGATTCAACCAAAAGCTAAAAAATGTTTACTTAGCTGTTTGGTTAAAATATTCTGGAATAATACCACGCAACACTGCAAAACATCACGACGTACCGTCTAGGGTAGAATCAAATAAATAACGCTAAAGTGTATTTTCCAGTATTCACTGTTACAAAATCATAACGTCTCATGATACAAACAACTAGATTGTATAACATCCCCACCTCGTTTTTTTAGAACTAGCCAAAAAAAAAAAAAAAAAAAAAGAGGTGGAGAAACTCAGCAAAACAAAGTGGCGAGAAAAGTCGGGGGAGGGGCGCTGGAAGCGAAGGGGCGGAGAAACACGACAGAGGCGGTGATATCACCCACAGCCAACTGCATGGAATTCAGAAAGTTAAGTGTCACCCAGCAATTTGGGTCCGGGCTTGCGGCGCGCCAGCACAGCGTGGCGGCGGCGGCACCCGCCGGGGAAGCAGGAAGGGGGAGGGGCGGCTTGGCCGAGTGCGCTCCGGGGCAGCGGAGGCCAGGTCGGCGTGCGTTCAAGTCCCGGCTCGGGAGCCTTGTCCCCGGCCCTGCAATGATTTCATCTTTTTGGAGGAGCGACCGCCCGAGCCGCGGCTGCCACGTGCCTGGTCCAGCCCCGTGCGCTGCGCTCGGGGACGGATCGGGCCGCGGCCGCGGTCACCGCGGGTCGCAGCGGCAAGCCGAACGAAAGGGCTGGCGCCGGGAGAGGTGCTCGGGATTGCTCCATCGAGATCGCCAGCGGCGGCTGGGGTGGGGGTGGGGGGGTGCTGACCTCCTGCGCACCTCCATCTCCCATCCCCGAAAGGGGGAAGGCCGGAGTGCGGGGCAGGTTTTGCAACTCCGAGGGCGGATGCAGGCGGTGGCCGGGCAGGATGGAGCAGCCGTGCCCCTCTCCTGACCCCCAAGGGGACCCCGGCCCAGCTGAGCCCCTTTCCCGGCCTGCGCCCCGCCGCTCAGCGCGCGCTCCCGGTGGCGTGGCCGTGGCTGTCCGGCCCCTGCGCGAACCCGACTACCCGAGTAGGGGACAGTGGCGGCCGCTGGGGGCCCGGAGCCGCGCCGGTCGCAGCCCGCCACTCCTTCCGCGTCCCGTGCCCCCTCCGGCGCCTCCTCCCGGGGCCCCACAGAGATGCTAGTACCTTCCACCGCTTCCTCCACCATCTCATCGTCGCTATCCATGGCGGCTGGGGACCCTGCCCAGCTCGGGGCCGCGCGGCTGCCTCGCGTCCCTCTGGGTGCTCCCGGCGGCTGAGCGAGCGCTGGGGCTGAGCCCTGCGAGTTTGGAGGAGGAGGAAGAGGAGGAGCAGTCGAGGCTGGCTCGCACTGCCTCCCCCTACAGCCCTTTCAATTCCTTGGCCTTAAGCTGCTCCGGCAGCCGCCGTCCCTCCTCCCTGCGCCCGCTTGCCCCCTTGCCTGCCAGGCTCCGGGGTGCCGCCGTGGCCGCCGCCGCTGCAACTTTCTCCTGTAATACCCCCTCTTTGTTATCGAGCAGCTGATCCGCTGACATCACCCAGCGCCGGTGCGCTCCCTCCCTCGCTGATTGACAGTTCCCTGTCCCTTCCCAGAAGTAAGGCTCCTTAAAACGAAAGGCGCTCCCGGTCCGCGCTGGCTCGGCGCCCCACCCCGCCAGTCCCCCGGCCCAGCACGGGTTCAGCTTTTGCTTCTGCGAGGCTGGGTGCGCTCCTCGCGGCACTTGGGACCTCCGGGTAGCCACCCCTGGGGGTGGGGAGGGCTCAGAACGCTCGACCTCCAACTATGCCAGGGACCACTTGGAAGTCCGCGTTCAGTGCCCGCCAGCCGCCGCACCCCTCCCCTCCCCGCCCCGGCTCCTCGGGACGGCCTCCAAAGAGCCGGGCAAGCTAAGGCAGCGTTCCTGAGACTCCAGCGCCTCAACTTCCTCTCGGCCTCGCCCCCACTCATCCCGTTTGCCACCCGGAGCTGCACGGGTGCGGCACGCACGGGAGCGCAGGTGTCCCCGCGCCGCCGCATCACATCCGCGAGCAGGTTTCCCAGGCGCCCGGGGGTGACAGCCCGCCCGGATGCCGCCGGACTGCGGCTCCCACCCTAGCGCGCTGCGTCCCCACCCTCCTCGGGACCATCAGGCGTCTCGTCTCGAGTGATTCAGAGCTTCAGCAGATCCAAATGGCAGCGGGCTCGTTATCAGACAGGAAATAAGCCGCGCGGAAGGCCCGGCAGGTCCCTCCTCGCGGCGGTGGTAACGGAGAAGGAGCCAGCGGGTGGAGCCCCCGAGGAAGGACCCTCCGTCTGGCGCGCCTCCCCCTCGCGCCTCCCGCCCAATGCGTGCGTTGTCCCCCGCCGTCCCCTGGTTTCTCCAAGTGCCAGCCCTTCACGGATTCCTGCTCTGGAAGTGTGGAACATCACGGGGCCCCGCTTCCCGGCCCCGCCACTTTGTCACCACGGCGTCGCCTCTTACAGGTGGCGGTAAAGGGCGGCTGTAAATAGCTGGTTAAATGGATGCAAATGTACACAATGTACCGTGGAATTACCGGGTGCCGCTTTGGGCATCTGCCAAGAACAGCTACTGCACGGAGCGGGTGAGGGTGGGGAGAGGAGAGGAGAGGAGAGAAGGGAGCAGAGAAAGTTGTTCTGTTTTGTTTTCTGAACCACGAGTGAGACTTTGCGGATTTCGGAGTGCTTCCCGTACCCGGGAGACCACGCCTTGCTTTGGGGCTTTGTGCTTAAATGCCAGTTTTGTTTTTTTTAATCGAGTACTGAGTTTCTTCTTAAATTCAGTTTTTATTCTGTGAAAAAGAGCACAGTGTTAGGGAATTTGTCTCACCGCTGCCAGAAGTTTCAGTCCGTTTTGACTGAGAGAGAGAGGGAAGGCCCCTGAACCAGGGGTTGAGAAGGTTGTGTCCTGGTGATGCTCACCTGCAGAAGGGCCTGGGCAGGCCACCTTTTAACAGCTTGAATTCCTCCCCTAGGAGATAAGAGGCTTAGGCTACACAGGTATCAGGCCTGCCAGCTCAGGCTAGACTGCTCAGAGGTCCTCCAGCTTAGTCTATATTTTTCTAAAGTCTTCTGGCTTAAATATAACCTCCTTAAAGTCCTCCAGGGCAGACACCTGGGCTCCAAAGCTACAAAACGATCGGGTTCCTGCAGTGGAAGATGAAAGAGCCGCTTTGGATTACACCATTTTCAGACATGAACTGCAGAAATAGGATTTTATTTCTGATATTAAAAAAAACACACCATCAGGTACTGACCTTGGTCAAGCACTAGTTTCCCCTTTTAAAACATATCATCTCCTCTCTTACATATTACACTGATGCACAGAAACACACCTATACTCATCTTCTTCAGTTTTCAGTTTATTTTCCAGGGCAAAAAAAATGCTGTAAGCTAAAGGAAACACAAATAATTTATTTCTTTACTCAAAGCGGGTTGAAACAGGGGCACAGTAGGTTAAAAGAAATCTTCCCTCAAAACATACACATGGAGTAAACCAAGACCCAAATTCAAGGTGGGTGGGGTGTGTGGGGGGAGGGAAAGGAATCATGTCACAAGTGTCCACAACTTTAGGCTTATAAGGAGGATGTCTACCTGCCCCTTGGTGATGGGAGATTTTCCCAGCCCACATCACTTCAGCAGACCTCCTCTGGATGTAAAGGGGGTGGGGTGGGGGGGAAGCAACCAGGGTCTTCCTGCTAGAACCTTCCTTAGGTTTGCACAGAAGGCAGGCGGCACCAGGGCACAGTCCCAGGCCCTCCCTGCCCCACTCCTGCCTGCTGGCTCTGGGCCCAAAGTTTAGGCAAAATGTTTTGATGACTCCCTTAAGAGCCATTTGCATTTTTAACACATCATTCTGTGTGTTTTCAATCCCCTTCTCTGGACTGACTGATTCTTCTTTCTAGCCTCAGAACCCAGCAGAGTGCCCAGTACAGAAGGAAGGTTAAGCCTTGTGCGTGATGGCTATGCAGAGAGGAATAGTCTGTTTTATATAAACAGTGCTGAGCCTTTCTCACACACTAGATCCCCTTCCTGTGCTTGGCAAAATGCTGTGTTGTTAGTTCGAGTTTGAAGAGCATGTTTGAGTTGTTCTACTTTCCCACATCTACTGGCCCCAGATCTGCTTCCATCGCATTCTTTCCCACAGTTTTCTTCATTGAGAGCTCATTTCATAAACCCTCTTTCCACTTGGCTTCCTGCCAGCCTCCTCTGCCATACGCTGTCCCCACCAATGTGGTCATGGGCTAGAAAATCAATCACTGAGCTCTTAATCACAGTGCTGGGCGGCTGCGGCGGCAGCCAGGCTCGGTGCCTAACTCAGCAGATCCCAGTGCGCCAGAACAGGCCTGTCCAGGGAGGGGGGGGGGGGGGGGGGGTTCGGAACAACCCTCGACGCGGCCTGGGGGTAGGGGTGGGGACTTGCTTCCAGGCTCACACCAAGGAGTGACTTTTCTACGCTACTCTGCCTTGTTCCTAGGCATCCAAGGATAAATCCCTCTCTTCCCACTCAGCTTGAGAAACAGAAGTCCCTCTTCCACTGCAGCAAACAGTCAAAATACTGAGTTATTTTATTCATTTTCCCACCCATGCCTTTCCCCAGAGAAGGCTGGTGCTTTCTTACAAGACTGATATAACTTTTGCAATAAATATCTTCACAGGGATCGTGTATTTCATGCATCTTCCTACACTGAGGGGGAAATTTTCTGTCAATTTACCACAGTGCGTGCTGGCTAATAGTGAAAAGCCTGGTGGATGTGGGACTCGAGTGGATCATTAGCCTGGCTGTCTCTGAGCCCTCGTCCTGTCCCGCTGACCGGGCTGGAGGGGCGCAGGCGGTCTTCAGGGTCTCCAGGCTCCTCGGAGGCGGAGCCTCTCCAGGGGTCCTGGTGGATCTATGACTGGTATGCATGCTCTGCTTTGATCTTTTGCTTGCTCTGCTGGCTGGGAGACAAGAGCGGAATGAGTGGAGGAGCTCTTAGATAATCACCAAGTCTTCTCTTGGCACTGCTCACCCCTTAATAAGATTTTTTTCCCCACCAAATCTGCCACTGTACTTGAGTTTTCATCCCACTTGTTTTGGTTCCTCCAAGGACTAGCCATGCAGCTGCTCAGTTCAACTCTCTGGACCTTGGTTTTCCCATCTGTAAACGAGGAGGTTGGTTGTCCACCCAAATACTAAGCTCAAACCTTCTCTGTCCACCTTTCCTGGGGAAAAGTTAAGTAGAGCGTGAAGAACTCCAGGGACACACACAGGAAAAGAAAAGGGAAGAAGCGGGGGGTAAACTTGGCAAATGGAATAGTCAAGGCCCCCGGTCATCTATACTGAATGGTACAGAGATCTGGGGCTGATGGACTTGATCTGACTCTGGAAAGAGAAGCGGGGGCCTTTGCGGAGAGCTAAGGTTCTTGGCTTCTGAATCACTGAGTTGCTAATCAAGTGGCTAACTGTGTTAGTGACGACTGCAGAGGCCGGGGGGAGGGGCAGAGAGCAGCGCTGGGGGAGGCTGTGGGGGAGGAGGTGTGGATGAAAGGGAAGCATTTACTGCGTGTGGGGCTCAGCCAAGAGCAACTGGGAACATCAAGGGCAGCAAAATAAAGGTCCTGGAGCAAAGGACGAGATGGAGAAAATTCATTCTGCTGGAAATAGACATGACTGCAGTCGTGAGGAGGACTCACGGATTCAGGGTGACCTGATTTGATCACTGCAACAGGAAGTGCAGGAGAGAGAGGGCAGGATAACCTGACCTGAGGAAGTGAATTAAATAATGGAGAAGACATCATTGTTGCCATGGCATTTAAATATCTCTCACCACATTAAGCTTCTTTTTCTCTCTTTGGCTTGATTCTTGTTCTTGCAACATGTTAATGTCATTGCAGTATATACGGTAAACTAAATTTAGACCTTTTGGAGCATGGAGGAAGGGAAGATGAAGCCCAGGTCTCCCTGTCTGGGTCCACTCTGGGCACATGTTCTTCCTCTGCTGTGTGCCTGGTTCTTTTGGTCTTTGCATTTTGGGTTATGAAAACCCTTGTCAGTCTCGGGTTCTGGGAAGCTGCTGAATGACATAATTAAAAAAAAAAAATGGAAACAATTTCAAAACAATTTCAGATTTCAATTTCTGCTTTAGAAAATACTTTAGAAAAATCAATAAGGTGCAGGAATTTGAAAAATAACGACCATGAAAACCAAATGTGTTTTCTTAAGTATCATGTTATTGTGTTGCTTTTTAAAAAATATTTTAGTGGGCTGCAGTTAAGGTTACTGGGTCCTGTAATCAGTCATGTGCAAATGCTAACGTTGCAGGGGGTGGGTACCTTGTGTGTCTTTTGACATTACTGTCCACAGAGTGAATGGAAAGGCATT